TTCCTTAGGTCACCCTGCGAGGCTCTGGGATATCTCAGCAGCACCATCTAGTGACACAAGAGCAACAACCACTGCAAAATAAGACAATCGTGAAAAGAACCAAAAAAGGCATTAAGGGAGAAAAAGTTTTAGTCCAGAAGATCTTTCCACAAGCCAGATTTTCTACACCAGTTTAAAACTAGAAAGAGAAAAGGGGTAGGGGAGAGAGAAAGAGGGAAGGTGGTTTATCTAGGAATGAGAACACAAGCCAGAAAGTACGACCTCTCGTGCTGCTACTCCTGACTCAGCGTGACCCGTGTAAGTTACTTCACCCCTTAGAGGGTTCCTGCATGAAGACACAGACAAGGTTTTGAGAGGACTACAGCAGGTGCATCAGCAGAGCATGGCTTAAATGTCAGTGGTCTGAGTACAGCCCGTTATTAGCGGTTCCACAGAGTTGCGTCTGATTTACAATGTCATTTATTTATTTTAAATAAAGTTTGATCTTGCAGCTATCACCTGCAGGTGTCAGTCAGGAAGAAAAAGCAGCAGTTGCATTCGCAGGCTGCATGACTGCACTCGTCAGGCGTCTCCCAGACAACACGAAGCAATTAATGAACGCGCGAGGGCAGTAACGCCTTTGCAAGACACACACTGTCAGGATGGGTCAGTATTTCCCAAGATTTCTTGTCCCCTCTAGAAGGCAGTTTATCTGGAAAAGACTCACACACAGCAAGAGCTCGTGAGGCCTCTTCAGGCAACAGATATCCCAATGGAAATACGTGACACCAGGCAAATCAAGACTACATTTCCTTCTCCAAATGTACCCTAAGATCACAGCTAGAACCAGGTCCTGCTTTAAATCCTCCCTGTGTAAATCCAGAGGGCCTCCCTGAACATGAAGGTACTCTAAGGATCCACTGTGGCTTTTCCCTCTTAGGAAATAAGGATGCAACCAGTAACCCCACAGGCAGTTTGAGATGCCAGCCTCAGTGCACACACAAAAGATGTCTTTTTCCTTAGACGCATTTTTGCTCTTGATACCAGCGTTACGCTGGCTCTTCATATCACATAATCATACATAACACAGTAACAAAAAGTTGTCACCTGTACACTAGGAAAAGCATTTTGGGTTCCCTCACTATTTAACTCCTCCACAGCAGGTTTCTAAGTGAGATGTATCAGCTGTATATTTCATTCTAGCAATGGCAAGGTTTTTCTCTTCCCACATCCCTTTAAATTCCTCAGTTCCAAGACACATGTTATTTTTCTAACAGTAACAATAAATAGATGGTTTGCAGCAGCAGGGAGAAATGTGGGGGAAGAGACAGAGAGGAATTGCATTTTTTTGTTTAATTTTTTTTTAAAAAGAAGACAAATTGCTCTTACTGGAACGACGGAGGCCGGGAGTCTCCAATGCCACCTGTTCTCTCGATGGGTGGCGGAAGGTCTGTGTGGCTCTCGGTGCACTGGGAGCCTGTGTCAGAGTGGGAGCTTTCAGCCAGGACCAGCTGTCAACAGAAAGAAGAGAATTACACACGCTTGTACCGGCTTCTCCACTCTGACACGAGGTGTTCAGCCATGGCTTCGCTAAATATTCTGTGAGATCCAAGGGAAACCAGAGGAAAGGAAGTGCTTAGTGTCTATTTGCATGGATTGCTGCCAAACTTTCACAAAATCGGGTTTCAGTCAATCTCTACAGGAAAGCACCATTGGCTAGGATATGCACAAAACTGTGCAAGCACCACAAAATTTTTCTCATCTCAGAACACGCAGGCACACAAGGCAGGGAGTGCATTTTATCTTGTGACTTGATTCTATGATTATAAGGTCCTTAATTAAACAAGTGCTCAAATAACAATATCCATTATTCCCTTTCACTAAGAAGCAACAAGGTCTCAGCTCCCCTCTATTTTATCTGTGGAAGAATTAGTCCTATATGAGAGATTCCAACTATAACTGGTTAATTTATCAAGGACTAATTCTAATACAACCATCAGAGAGGTGCCAGCTGTTAAAGACGGGGATGGAGAAGGAGAGGGAACAGGATAGGAGGGCACTGGCACTCACGATGCAGCGTATTGCTCCTAAGAGCATATATACCATAAATATCAGAAAGCAAACACACACAGACTGTCGAAAAGGAACTGCCTGAAGACAAAACATTTCCCCGGCACTACACGGAATCAGCTGCATTATTCAAACTCTTATCACCAAAGCAAGAGCAACAGAGGAAACACTGAAGGGAAAAATAACATGAGCTTTCCTAATAACTTGCTAATGAAGGTTTCTTTCTTTCAGGTGGGGAAGTTAATGGGAAATGTTTGGAGAGCATGTTGGGATTATGGAGATGCAAGTATGTCTCCGAGCCTCGCTCATCCCCTGAGGAATCTCTGTGCAAGTACTTTCACGAACAAAATCAAACCAAGGGATAAAAAGAAGGGAAAAAAAAAAAGCAAGAAATTGATTGTAGGCAAGATCTACACATCCTTTCACCCCTCACATTGAAAACTGTATCAAGCTCTGCTAACAAGCACCTGGCCCCAGGTATGTGAAAGCAGGGAACCATCAGCCTTTCTGCTAATGGCAACACCTGTCTCAAAGATGAGCTTGATGCAAAAAGAGCCAACAAGACAAATCCTTTCCATATTTCAGGATATTGTTCTTTAGTATTTCCCTGCTCCTGGAGGAAGAAGGCTTGGCAATCCAGAGCCCTTCTTTATAAGCTCGGAACATTTTGGAAGAAGACATAACATTATGTTAATATCCTCTTCACTTTGGATCAGATTTCCTGCACAGTTCTCTTTTCTCCTGCAAGACAGTTCAGCCCATCAGCAGATGAATGAGCACTTATATAATTTGATCAGGTAAGAAACAGGCCCTGACATCAGTTCTCTTCACACCTAAGAAATCAACAAGATTCTGCTTCTGTGGATTTTCATCCACTGCCTTCGGTCAGCGCCGAAAGGCAACGATGCACTTTGCTGAAGAGCATTTAACAGTCCCGAAGCTCCTGTGTTGCCTCGTATGGGAGGAGACTGAACAGTTCCACCCAACAATTTTAATTGCAATTGCAAATACAGCACCTAAAAAGCCTACGTACAAACAGGACAAGTGTTATCTGTTGGCACCCACATAATAGAAAGGGAATGAAAGACAAAAAAAGCGACAGGCTCGCACAAGGCAATGACATCACTGCCAGCCAATAGGAAATAGTGCCCGTTCCCCACAGCCAGGCAGGGAATTGTTCCCAGATGTGGCAAAGCCTTCTTAAAAAACACAGATAACAGCCAACCGGCTCTGGGCTAACTGCTGGCAGAGGCCACTCGGCTGGCAGCAGCCACAAGCACATTCCCAGCTTCCACAGGGAGGCTGTCCCTGCACCGGGCGAAGAGAATGGAGAAACAGGACAAGCTTTTGCAAAGGTATTTTCTTCCACGCAAGCTCTTTTTCCAGGTTGCCCAGTAAGGAGCTGAACCTGAAAAAAACAAAAAGGCCTTAATGATTTCACTCAGGTGAACAATCCCAAAGAATTCCAACCAAACTGTACACTGAGGGAAACTAGGCCCTGTGCTTTATGTTTGCATGTGCCAGCGGGATGGGCACAAGGATCAGCTATTTCTTGCAGATGGGTTTGAGTAAATGCAGTTTCAGTACTGCTAGATGAAGAGCTCTGCTATACTGTTGAAAATCCTAAAAGTCAGCCACTCAAAAGGAGTCTAGTAAGTAGTAGCCCTCCGTCCCAAATTATTTAGTCCTTTAAAAAAAGCCCACAAAAAAACAACCCCCTGAAATCAAAAGGACAAGATCTAAGACGCAGAGAAAAACAAGTAGGACACAGGAGGGATGGGAAGGAGGTTTAGTAAACTGATCAGGAGCAGTGTTTCTAATTCACCACTAATTTAGCTGCACATTGAGTTCCCAGGGCAGCAAAAGTAAGCAACAACGAAAGACTTGCAGATCCTCCCTCGGACATTTTGCCCTATGGAGATCAGTCCTGGGTTTGACACGGAGATCAAAGTTCCCACCTATGACAAGCAGAAGGATTCAAATGTTATTAGAAGAGATGAAAATCTCAAACTTCTAAATGTCAGTCATCTCGTCAACTTCAAAGTAGCCACTATGGCAGTCAAGAGGAGAGTTGTGGGAGAAGAGACAGCTCAGCTCTATCGTGTGCATTTAACGCTCCAATTTTAAATGTTGTCTCGATAGAAAATACATGCACATCGCTGTGATTTAGAGTGAGGGCGGCGATTACCACAGATGGTTTTGCGAAAGAATCCCAAGCTGTCTGCTACCAGCTGATGCACAATTTGTAACACGGGAGACAAAGGAAGCTCAGGCCTATCATATTAAAAAGCGTAAGAAAACAGCCCTGCGCAAACCACATCTTTTCCAAAAAGTGAAGACCAACTTTGCTGGCCCTAAAAGATAACGCAATTATCTGTTGAGTTCCAGTGAATAGGATATTAAAGCGTTTGAAACTGTGAACAATTAACTTACAGTAAGATTTACATGAAACTCCTCCAGTAATTAGCAGCAAATAGAGGCAGATAAGCGCTGCAATTTTATGGGTGTTAGTGTGGAAAAAGTAATTTGCAATTCCTAATGCAGGTCAGACACAGATGTTTCAGCTGATTGTTCAGCAGAGTGAAGAGAAGCCCTTGTCAACATCATCTGCAGAAGGTGCACTGTGTGATCTCCGAGAGAGCTACAAACCGAATCCCAGCTAGTGGGATATGCACATAAATTTGAAAATAAGCTTATGGGTAGGAAGGGAGGAAAGAGTCTAAGTCTTTCGAAGCCATGTACCCAGTCCTGCTACCTGCAACAACCTGTGCTCACTGTCTCTGCCTCACCTGCAGGAAAGGGGTTGACAATGCTGAGCAGCTGAGTCTGCGAGGAGCCTGCGCCGGTGCAGCCCTCGCAAAAGGCTCTATAGTACTAATTCTGTGAAACAATTAATTCAAGCCACGCATCAAATTTTTGCTTCAGATCTCTGCAATAGCACCATTCTCACTGTGAGACTTGGCTGCTGACTCAGACTGAACTGATTCTTGTGGGTTAAGCTCCTGGGTTGGCATTAAGAAGAAAAACTATTTCACTATTTTTCACTGAACTAACGTTATTTAACCTAAGGAAGAAAAGCAAATTGAACTCGTTCTTCTCCTAAAGAAAAGACACAAAAAATGAAGAAGGGATTATGTTCTGACTTGGGAACAAAACAATCCACATCCTTACTCATGTGGAATACTTTGGGACTGAGGGTTTGTCTTTGCTTGAATTCCAAGAACGCTGGCTCATTGGAACAACCTGAGTCATATTTTGCTGCACAGAAGAGCCCGAATAGCGTACACAAGTCCACAGTGAATCATCGGTGTACTGAATCACCAGTGTAAAATTCTTTAACTAGACCTCAGAGATAAAAACAAACACTACCACGCTCCTGAATGCAGCGGGAAGAAGAGACCCAGCTCAGGGGTGCAGAAGGGAATCTGAATATCAGCTGGGAACCTACTGGGACTACACAGTTGCCAGAGTCTGAGGGCCTTAAAATTGAAAGCAATCAGCAGAGCAGAAGGAAGTGATAATATTGTACGATACAGCTGAGCTCAACACATCTGCCAGTCCTCACCCTCACATGAGCAACATTTTCAGCCGCTTAGGACCCAGCAGGGGCTGTATTTGATGAACCACCATCTCTCAATCATCTGGCATTTAAGCTGTGTGTTACGCTTCCCTTACGCAGTCAGCGAACGCGCACAAAGCGCCCGGCCCAGCACGGAGGGCAGGGCACTGCTCACTGAGCGGGACGCAATCCCAAGGGCTGTGTAACGCTGCGGAGGCAGCAATTAATAACTGCAGGCAGGCAACAAACAAATACCGCGGCATACCGGAGAAATCAACACATGAAAAACAGAGGAGCGAAAGAGTGAGGGAGGTGTGATGTGCTGAGGGTCGAGTGAGCGGGAGGAGCTGCCGGATCAGGGATTTTCTCTGTCGCTGGGATATAACCACCCTGTGCTGCGTCCCCTGCACCAAACAACAGAGACAGGAGCCGACATACCCAGGACACCACTCGTCCATTGAAGCAAGGGAGCTTTGCATTGTCATCCGAGATCTCCTCCTTTACCACCCTGGAAAAGAAAAAAACAAAAGGAAGAAAATCAAGAGTTTGGACAGGTATCACATGAGAAGGGCCACTGGTTTTCTTAAATGGCCCAGGAAAAATAAGAAATTTTATAAGAAATAACACCACCACTAATGCCTGCATTTGCACATTTTAATCTTTTTTTTTTAAAGAAGGAATGAGCATTCTCTTCTTTCTCCACATTTATTTGCATTGTTAACAGCTAGCAGTAGAGTTTTCTCCTCTTTCCTGCTATTGAAAAGAAAAATATTTTTAAATATTCATTTAACTCCTAATGCATCTGTCCTCCCTTTACCTAAAACAGATCACATGATTTCATTACTGCTTTTAGTCATTTCTACCTACACTTCAAGAGACAATTAAGAGTAAACTCCATTAAATCAACAGATACTCAGTGCTTTCAAAACCTTTGACAATTCAATGAAGCTCTCAGACCTGTAATTCTGGAGCTGCAAACTCTGTGTGCAGACAGAGGATTTCAACATTTGCATGGCTCTCCAGCCCCAGCACGCTGCCCCGACTGCAGACATTAGTTTCTGTGTTTCAGAGAGTCCTGCAGAGAGCACTCACTCAGAGAAGATCCAGCTGCAGAACTGGCAAGGAAAGATGCCACAATAATTTTACCTTGACAGCTGCATGTTTTATATGACAGTATCTACCCCCCACACGCCCAAGAAAATGCTACCTACTTCACTCCAGAAACCATACGTGGAAATCCTGCACCAAGGTCTAAGATTTAGGCAAAGTCAAGGACTAAAAACATACTGATTGGGCTGTTTTCTCCAGAGTAAAGGCCTGGGGGTCTTTCTAAAACAGGGGCGTACAGAAGCAGCCCAGATACCCCCATAGTACTGCGCAGGCTGGTTCGCTTGTCCTTGTGATGGAAAACGAGCACGCTGAAGTCACCACTCACAAAACAACGCGTCTATCACAGCGTTCGCCTGCTGCTGCAGCTGAAGGGAACAACTTCCAGATCTGTTGCAACTTGAACTACTAAATATAGCCTTGAGCTATGAGGCAAGAGCATGACAGACTCTAATTCCCAGCTTGCTTTGGGTAGTAATCAACAGCGCCAAGAACATCAAAGGCAGCAGCAGCCACTAATTTCAAATATCAGTGTTTTACAAATCATTATTTGTAGTAGAGAGGCAGCTCCCTTCAGTTCTCAGGAAGGAGCGGTGGAGAGAAGGCAAGAAAGGAATATGAGTGGTTGCAGCCACACGCTTCAGTCGGAGGACAGCTCTCTATTCAAGAAGAGATCTTTCGCTCTACAAGAACGTAGAAACAAGGGCAGAGGGAGACCCGTGGTGCCGTCTGCTTTTGGAACATAAGGTTGGGAACTAAGACACACAGCAGCTAAAGACCAAGGGAATTAAGGCCCTAAGTAATGAGTTCACAACCTCGACCCGACCCAAGCGAGCGTGGTGAGGAAGAAGAGGTGATGCATTTGATCTGCCAAAGACCTCCTACTGAGGTGAAGAGACGCTTGCTGGTCCCGGATGTGGTCCATTGTGGAGACAGGGCAGCAGTGCTCTCCAGCACAAAGGTTAATGGCCTCACTGTTGGATAATAAGAACAGAGACCCTCTGAGGCCAGGAACACCCCCCCTGCTCACACAGAGGTAAAGCTTCCCCTCAGAAGAGGGGATATTTGTTTCCTAGGTCACATCCCGCCTCCTGGCAACACTGTGCCTCTGTAATTCCTCCGTAATTGCTGGCAAGGTTGGAACACAGGCAGTCTCTATTCCAGCACCCACCATCTTCTGCTTAACCTAGGTGATGAGCCACTCCGGGG